TCATCCATCATCACCATTTGCATGTCACAAATGAACTCGGCATCGCGCCTCGCTTCGAAAACCTCAAACAACCTACACGTGGCCTGCGAGCCGCTGTCACCCCCCGCATCCAATGCAAGGACGGCCTGTTTGCGGCCACACTTCGGGCGCAAGGCCGAACAATCCGAGCGCGCCCATGCAGGGCGACAGTGGCTTGCAGCAGTTCCAACGCCCTTCTTCCCCCACGGAGAAAGGCAGAGGCTTCCCCGTGCCAACCCTGGCGCGCCTGGGACGGGTGGCAGGCTGCAGGGGCGCCCAAGATGCCCAACCATGGCCCTGCGATTCAATCATGCCCAAGCGCGGCATCACCAGGGCGGCTCAACCATGCCCAATGTGACTCAACGTACTAGACTGGGCCACGTTGGGCATGGTACCGCAGAACGCAACTACGCTGAGTTATTCCTCCTCCTCCTCCTCCTCTGCCTCATCCATCCCCTCCTTCTCGCCCCTCCTCATCATTCACCGCGCGCTTCCCCCCCCCCCCCCCCTATCTCCTCCATCGCCCCACACGCACACACACACACACGCACACACACACACACACCACACACACACACACACACACACACACACACACACACACACACACACACACACACACGCACACACACACACACGCACACCACACACACACACACACACACACACACAACACACACACACACACACCACACACACACACACACACACACGCGCACGCACGCACGCACGCACACACACACACACACACACACACACACACACAACACACACACACACACACACACACACACACACACACACACACGCACACACACACACACACACACACACACCACACACACACACACACACACACACATGCCCTCCTCCCCCTGCCCCCCCCCCCCCCCCCCCCTCCCCCTCGCCCCTCGCGCGGGGGGGGGGGGGGGCGGAGCGGAGCCAGGGCAACTCGCGCGGGCACAAGCCTGAGCGGGCCTGGGCGCGGCGCAAAGCGTCAATGATTTGAACGCGCACGTGCGACGAGGCCCCGCGAGGGCTCGAACTGAAAACACGTCTGCGACTGGACATCCATACTCTCTCGTGATCCACAGGAGCGCCTCGCGCCGATGTCCGTCGGCGGCAGCGCGGGCCGCCGCCACTGGATCAGCGACGCCGCCAGAGCCAATCCCCAACACAGATTCACCTGGAAATGCTAGGGGGGTGCAGATGTGAAGGAAGTGAAGGGGTGTGGGGAGGATGGTAAACTTCAATTAAGATGAGGCCACCGCGTGGATCGGAATCGGTAGCGGTACCAGCTCCCCTGCAGAATGCCAAGAATGGTTCATCAAAGATATTATGGACCACCATCAAGACACCGATCCACGACGGCGCGGCTTCAGATCCAACCCACTTCCGACTGGGGGGGAGGGGATTTAGGACCACCTCCAACGAGCACCTTCACAAACGTTGCTCGAAACAAACGCTCGATGCAAGCATCTGGCTTGCCAATTTTTTGCGGGGGGGGGGAAGGGGAGAGAGAACAGAAGACGAAGGAGGACAAAAATAGAAAAACGAAAACAACAATCAACGTTCATTATCATTCAAGGCACCGCTGGCCAACGACAATCTGATAGCCCCGTGCTTGGCCGCCCTGGGATCGTGGAGACCTGGCAACAAACGGTGCAACACATGTGCGCTCTTGGCTGCAACCCTGGGGCGCGGCAGCGTGTCCCTGACTATTCTGAGCCGTCGCAAGACGATCTGTCCAACAATCCTCCTGAATTTCAACAAGCAACTGGGGCCCTTGAGCACCAACGCTGCGTGTGCGAGGAAGCTGATGAGACCTGACCGAAGGGAACACGCATCATGTTTGGCAGTTGCGGCCCTGTGGACATGGCACTTATTATGGAAAGCGGGCTGTCCTGTACCCAATTCTTGTTTAAACCTCTCAGCAAGCGCGATTGCACCGTCACCGTCCGCACACACAACCCTCTGCCTGTGTTTGAACAACCTCGACACCCCAGACGTGTCCAAGCCACTGGCCTCCACAGCGGCGGCATCGTTCTCACCTCTGCCAGCCGTCATCACTTGGAGTGGCACGAACACGATGAACGAAACTTCCGCGCATGAAATCAAGTTTGAACAACACTGTGTACAACCAGTCGGTGCTCAACAATGGCAGTTTTGAACCGTGTGTGGGCTCTTTGCCGCCGCCCACGTTGATCCGAGCTCTGATGAAATCGTGTCGGTCCAAAGCGTTCGCAACTATTTCCGACGATTCGTCACGATTGTCAAAACATGCGGCCATCATTTTCGTATCATCGAACCTGCACTGCTGAGCAAACAAAAGGCACTCGCAACCAGACCGTGTACCCGTATCAACACAACCGTTCATCGTGCTGACGGCCACGGCTCGCCCGGTCAGCATTGCCCTTGACACAAGCCGTTGCTTGCAGTCTGCGAGGGTCGACCTACTAACCCCAGCAGCTTCAGCACTGGCAGTTTCGCCCACGATGTGCTTCGACAGTTTGCCACGGATTACATCAATCGTATCGTGTGAAACTCTGTTGAACAAGCCTGTTCTGTCGGAACCCTCTCTTATAATTCTAAGTGCTACCAACAGTGGGTCAAACAACAAGCTACCACGGCACTGTCTTTGCGCCTGCACGAGGCGCCTTGACCGCTCGCAGTCAAGCACTCAAATATCAACAAGTGGCACAGGGGCGGCAACAACAATCGGAAGATCTGCGGGCACGACGTCCAGGCCCTCGGCGGGGCCCTCGACGTCTGCTGGCCCGCCGTCGCCACCGTCGTCATCGCCCCGCTGGTCGTCACCAGGGCTCTCGCCCAACGGGGCAGGCAGCGGCGCGGCGGCGCCGCTGGCTGCCAGGGCCGCGCCAACAGGCCGCCACAGCTCCCTGGTGGTGACGCGCCGCCTGCGCCGCTTGGGCTCCAGCGGCGGCCCGTCCTGCTCGGGCCCCTGGGCGCCGCCGTCGTCGGCAGGGCTCGGCGAGCCTGCTCCAGCGAAGGCCCTCCAGCCGCCCGCGTCGCCATCCGCGAACGCAGCCCAGCCATGCCCTGACGGCACATCGGCCTCGCTGCCCGATAGGGAGGGCGACCCGAGGAAATGCGCCCACCCCTCCATGGGCCACGGAGGGGTGGGCGCACGTGAGCTGAGCTAAAAGAGCTACGGGCGCGTCAAAGCAGCAGAACTTCTCTGATAGGTTATGCTGCTTTGACCCTGTTCCATCAAATCAGTCTTAGGAGGCTCAGATTCAATCTGTCTACTGGCAACCCTATCGTTGTTGTTCAGCTTCTATTCAATCAGTTTACGTGCGGTTTCTATTTGACCCACCGCGATGTAGAAGCCCTGCCGAAACGCACTGGATGAAAGAGCTCTGGCCACAAGACGCGCGGATTCAACTGCCTCCAAGAGTCCCCCTTTACAGCGTGAGCTCGGCCACACGACGACTTCGCCGCCCCCCACTCCCCAGCCAAGTCACCCTCCCCTATTCCCTGGACTGGCCCACTAAGGGCCTTGACTCAAGACAAGGGTGCGGGGTGGCGTCTAGATGTCCGTCGTCCCCCTCACTCTGCCAAAGCTAACAGGTCGTGGAGAAGGCGAGGACGAGGACGAAGAGAGAGAGAGAGAGACAGGATAAGCAACTGAGGAGGATACAGGGTACGGAAGAAGGCAGGCGATTACGGAAGAGGGCAGGCGATTGCGAGGAAGACAATGAAAATGAGAGGGGGAGGAGAGAAGAGCAACGGGATGGCGTGTCGGAGAACCAAGAGCGATTCGAAGGGTGAGGTCTTTGAGCTCGCGCACAATGGCGCATACAATCGCACCCTGTCAGAAAAAAATCCGGCGCCCTCACCGCGACCAGGGTTCATTTGTTTCTATGGGCGGCCCTATCGTGTCCCTATGTTTTGCCTATCAGAGGGGCAACTCGGATTTCTATCGACAAAGGGAACCTGGGTATCACAAATCTCGACGTCACTAAGCTCGACATCACCAAGGTAGACTGCCAGGGCATTATATGAATACTGCTCTATGCTCTACAGCTTCCACGACATACTGCCGAAGCCATCCACGCAGGCTCAGTCGACGCCAAGATCTAACACACTACTGCATACCATCTGGCGATGATGTCACCCAGCCATCAACAACACTGTTCTACGAAATATAACAAGTATAAAACCATCATCACATCATCAGACGAAGGATACCAGGCCCGGCTCAGTCAAGCGAGTAGAAGTAGTGCCCTCCTCGGCCAGCTGTCCAGCACGAGGACTCCTACTAGCTCCCAGAGCTGGGGCCTACCAGAAAAACGTCAGAGCGAACAGGCCAAAGTACATGTGAAAAGGTCACTGTCGCTGTCATCCACGGCGCCGTGACCACCGACGCTCTCGCCATCTCCGGGGCCGTTTTGGCGGATACTTGTGTTAGATGGCATCCATAGTATAACTGAGACAGACAACCATCGATGATCGGCGGCGAGCACGGGGGGGAAGTGAGAAGGGGCGGGCCTTCTCAGAAGGCTCGAAAGCCTTCTGAGAAGGCTCGCCCTTCTCACTTCCCCTCCTCGCTCGCCGCCGAGCTGTTAGAGATGTCATCCGTAGTTAGCATCACTAAGACAGAAACCCATCGATGAGATAGCTGGCATGTTCGGCATCACCAGACGAGATCCACGTCGACTTAACGAACCATTTGCTCGCGCCATTGCCTGCCTCGCCGTCCACGTCGCCCCCGATGTCCTCCGCCGACCCATCCCCTCCCCACAGGGGGAGAAGAATGAGGTGGAGGAGGAGGAGGAGGAGGAGGAGGAGGAGGAGGAAAAGGAGGCACTTGGGGGGCCTCTTGGTGCCTCCGGGGGCTTCCTGAGGGACCCTCAGCACTTCCACACCCTCCTCCCTTCTCCCCATACCCTTCTCCCACCCACCATCCCCCCTCCTGCTCCCCCACCTCTGGGGCGTCGCCCAAATCACACGCGCGTGTCCTGGACGTGGGAGCGGCGCCGATGGGGCCAGCACCGATCGGGCCGCTCATCTGGAGGCGGGGGGGGGGGATGGCAAGAGGCGTGAAGCCGACTCCCTCCTCCCCTCCCTGCCTGCCTTTCTGCCCCCTGCTCCGCCCACGCCTCATCCTCCATCCAGTCCGCATCCTCCTCCTCCCCTGCCCCTTACCACTGGTCCATGTTAGATGATAATCACCCACTCCCCCACAAGCCGTCCCGCTTTCACTTTGCAGCGGATTTGATCTTGCAGTGGTCGGGGCGAGGGCGCAGTGTCCGCTGCGTGCGAGTCCTCCACCCCGGTGAAAACCAACGCAAGGATATTGGGGGTACGCGCACCACACACAAGGCGCACAAACCCGCTGTCAGTCTGTGTGGTATTGTCAAGGCTGGTGGGGGTGTCGGCATATCTCCCGATGGGTGCTGCAAAGGGAACTGGCGCACCTGGCACACTCAGCCCCGCCCCTGGCGCACGTGGCACATCTGACGCACCAGGCGCGCTTGGGAACCCAGAGTACCCGCCGCACTGGGGGCGCGTGGCGCATCTGCCGCGCGTGGCACACGTCGTGCGCGTTCTGCACCTGGTGCCCATATCGGTTACGAATGGCTATCCGTTGGATGGCGACTGCTGCCTATGCTGAGTCTCGAGAGCCCATGTTTTTCGCGCTAGGAGCGCACGACGACAGGTTGCGCGAGACCATCGCCGTGCGTGACAGCCACTACTGACGGAAGAGGTGCCACCATCAGCGAGCGGCACGGGATCATACAAGAACTGCACACGTGCCCTGGGCGAGAAACTCAAGCCGAGGACAAAGAGAAGCGAAGCGCACGGTGTCGGTCTGGCAGGACCGGCCCTAGGAGCACGGCGCGGGAGGGCCAGAGCCCTCAGGAGTCGTCCTGTGCGACTGATGGTCTATTTGGAGGTGGTGTGGACGGCTGCTAGGCTGGATGTCGATGTCGGAGTGCTGATCTGGTGTCGCAGAGGCGAAGGAAAGAGAGAAGTGCAGCAAGAGAGCAAAAGAGAGAGAGAGAGAGACAGAGCGCGGCTAAGGAGGACAACGAGAAACACTCGCGCGCGCAAACCCGCCTGAGCGGACGGCAATCGCACAGAAGCCCGCGCGAGCATACTCGATGGAGACAGGTGGAAAGAGGGGAGGAAAGGGCAGGAGGAACCAGAAGGAGACTCGCCGTGCGGTGCAGCAGTGAAACTCCCGTGCGGTGCAGCAGTGAAACTCCTGAGCGAGGAGCCGCAGAAGCGAGAAAGAAGAGCCGAGCCAAATAAGCGGATGGGTGGTAGGCGGTGGGAGGGTTAATAGTCTTCTAGTTCGCGCGCGCGGGGCGGCACCTGGGGGTTCCCGGACGAAAAGTACCCCGAGCAGGTCCCGGCCAAGTGGGGCCCAGAGATGGTTTTCCTCCTCGGCGCTGCCTTCCAGGCTTTCCAGAGCGCCCCAGGAACGCCCCAAAAGAGCCCCGAGACGCGCCCGAAACCGTCCGAAAGGCCCTGGGTCGCCGCAAGATCGTTCCAAGACGCCCACGATGGCCTCCAGACGGCCCAAGCCGCCGCCAAGAAGCCCCAAGAGAGCCTCAAGAGGCCGTCCAAGAGAGTCTCAACAACCAAAAATCGTCCTATTTCCTTCCGAAAACGTACATTTTTCGCAGTTGCGACTCTTGGGGGTTCAGAGCGTCCAATACTGCCCAAGAGACCCCCAAGATCGCCCCAAGACGGCCCAACAGGCCCCCAACATGGGCCGAACACGGCCGAAGAGGGCCCCAAGACGGCCCAAGAGGCGCCCAGGACAGCCCAAGACGGCTCCAAGAGGGGACCAGGAGGCGCCCAAAACGGCCCAAAGGGCCCCCAAGACGGCCCAAGACGCGCCCAAAAGGGGGAACGCGATGCGAAAATCCGAGCCTTCAGCCCAAAAGAGGCCCCCAAGAGGCCCAAGAGGCCCCAAGAGACCACAAGAGGCTTCAAAACTGCCTCCAAGAGACTCCCGAAACGACTGCCTAAAGACCCCAGCAGCGCCGCATTGACAACGATCCCTCGGGCAAACGGCAGAGATGAGGCTACATGGGCCAGCGGAATGAGCGAAGCGACAAAAAAATAAGCGCACGGGTGGTAGGCGGTGGGAGGGCAGGTGGAGGTGAGCGAGACAGCGTTAGTGGCCCTCTGGGGAAAATGATCCCCCACCCTCTATCCTCGCCATCACCCTCCTCGCCTTGCTGCTCCTCATCCTCCCCCTCCTCCTCCACCACCCCCTCCTCCTCCCGCTGCTCGTCGTCCTCCCGCTGCTCGTCGTCCTCCTCCTCCTCCTCCTCCTCCTCCTCCTCCACCTTCTCCTCCTCCCCCTGCTCGTCCTCCTCCCGCTCCTCGCACTGCACGAGACTCGCGCCCGACCTCGCCGCCTCTGCCCTCAGCAGGGCCCGAGCTAAACAGGGTTTCTCGTTTTCTTGTGTCTTCGCTTTCCCGCGTTCGGTTGTCTTTCCGCCTTTGCTGCAAAACGACGGCCCGCGAAACCGCCAAAACTACGACGCTTAGCTCGAGCTCGGCCCAGGAGACCCAAAAAGCCACCCTCAACCCCCAGCCAGGACCCCCTGGCCCGGTCGGGAGCAGGGGTCCTGGCCGGAGGTGGGGGTTGAGGAAGAGGCGGAGGAGCAGCAGCCGTAGCAGCGGCGAGCAGGAGCACGGCGCTAGCGACGGGGGAGGAGGGAGGAGACGCCCCGCCCTACGGCGCGCATCCCTCCCAAGCCTACGACGAAGCCAGGACGAGGATATCTGGGATCCGGCGGCTCGGGAGGGCGTATCGGGCGTCGCAGCCTTCTGAAAGCGTTCCGGAGCTCCCTCAGAGCGCTCTGGAACACTCTGGAACGAATTATCCTCGTCCTAGCCCCGGCGGAAAGCCACCCGTGGACCCCAAGACTTTGGGCTGGTCAGGCGGCCCCCTGACTCCGTGTGGCGCGCCGTCAGTTGAGCCCACCTGGTCGCAGCACACGGCGGTCATATGTGCATGCTTCCCCTCGGATTAAGATCGCCTCCTCCCGAATCTGCATGTCTTCACGTAGTCATGGACACCCATACACGTACGTTAATGCATTTGGACGGTTTGCAATTCGCGGCTAGCCGTGATATCCGCGCTCGACCAATGGTTATCTACGTGTACCTCTCTGTGGGAGCGCCACAGCACCTTCTCGGGCGGCCGCGTCGAAGAGGCAACTTGGCGTCCGATCACGAGGCAAACTTATGTCGGCATCCCCGCGACCACCTGCTGGGCATCGACCTGGAATACAGTGATGCAGTGTCCCATATCATGATGGTCTCCGCACATCCCTTGAACTATTTGTATGGACTACGTGAATACGGTGGCCACAACACGTACAAGCTACCACTGATATTTGCTCCTACAATACTACCATCTACTCTGCGATATGATATTGTACGCGGGTGTGTAATCTGAGAAACGTATCTCTGCATTGGGACTGCAGGGATGCCCATTCCAGAGCAACTTCTCACAAACCCAGTAGCCCTCACATTCGTTTGACAGTGGATAATCCCTCTGGCCCATCACCTCACCCATCATGGCCAGCGGTCGACGGACCTGATCGCCGCAGCAGGAAGAAGAGGCCAGAGGACATAGAAGAAGACCGGAAAGGAGGATGACAGAGGAAGAAAGAACTGCATGAACATAAATTTTAGGAGGTCTGCACAGATTTCTTGGACCCGCGATGGACACCCTTCCGTGGCGCTAGGAGCGCGCCAGGGGTGGCGCCGGAGGCGCCGCCAGGAAAGCCCAGGCGCCAATCCAAGAAATCCACACGAACTCCGAACGTTCATGTTTCTGCCGTTTTCTCTTCTTCGGGGGACTGACTGACTGACTGACTGGAGCTCGTGGAATCCAAATAGCTCGTCTATCAAAAAAACTTCAGCACTCTTACTGCTGAGGAGGCTGGAGGAGTTGGATGAGCAGGACGACGCGCCTCCGCGTGCCCCAGGGCGAACTACCCGGGCCCCGCTCCTCCCCTGTGGCCGGGCACCTCTTGCACCACCGCTTTGCTGCCGGTCGCCGCAGCGGTTCCCGCACGTTCGAAAGACGTTCTCCTGGGAGGGGGTCTCTGAGCTGAGAGGGCTGGCCGGGCCGGCTCGTCGGCCCATCTCGGGGACGAGCCCAGGGGGGAAGTGAGAGGGGGCAGGGCTTCTCAGGAGGCGGCGGGGCTTCTCAGAAGCCCTCGCACCATTGCGAAGTTTTCTAAGCCTCAGGGGAAGGCTCAAACAACCTCTCAGGAGGCCCGAGGCCCTCCGAGCATTCTGAAAAGGTCCACCCCCTCTCACTTCCCCCATGGGCTCGCCGCCGAGCATCTGTCTCCGTCGCCGCTCTCGGCACGCGCGGGAAAAGAGTGGACAGAAGACATGCATGGAGGACGGAGCAGGACGAAGACCAAAACTGCCGGTCGAACGAGCAAACCATTGCACAGACCCCCAGCCCCCTTGTCCACCAGCATCAGCCAATCATCTCGCTAGCACCTCACCGCGCGCGATACGCTGTGGATCTTCGTGGGTCGAAGGGCCATCCGGACGCAAGAAGTCGATCTTAAAAGGTCAGCGTCCTGGGTTTGAGTCTGGGGGAGCACACGGGGGCGTGGGCCTGTCCTGGAGAAAGGTGTGGCCGAAGGCCGAGAGCCCACTCATCACGAGGGAGAAGGGGGGCAGAAGAGCATGAGGGGGAGGCTGGGAAGAGCAAGGGGGGGTGGAGGGAGTGAGGGGAAACGGAGGCAAAGTAATGAAAACATAGGAGGGAGGAAGGCAGTGGCGGGCGGGACAAGAGAGGACCGAAGGAGAAGGGAGGGAGACCTGGACAAAGGAGGTGGAGACGGCAGAAAGAATGAGGGCCCCCTCCCCCTCCTCCTCCTCCTCCTCCTCCTCCTCCTCCTCCTCCTCCTTCTGTTCCTCATCCTCCTAATAGTAGTAGGTAGTAATAGTAGTAGTAGTAGTAATAGTAGTAGTAGTAGTAGTCGTCGTACTCGTAGTAGTCGTAGTAGTCGTAGTAGTCGTAGTCGTAGTAGTCGTAGTAGTCGTAGTCGTAGTAGTAGTAGTAGTAGTAGTAGTAGTAGTAGTAGTAGTAGTAGTAGTAGTAGTAGTAGTAGTAGTAGTAGTAGTAGTAGTAGTAGTAGTAGTAGTAGTAGTAGAAGTAGTAGTAGTAGTAGTAGTAGTAGTAGTAGTAGGAGGAGGAGGAGGAGGAGTAACAGAAGTCGTAGTAGTAGGTAGTAATGATAGTAATAGTAGTAGTAGTAGTAGTAGTAGTAGTAGTAGTAGTAGTAGTCGTAGTAGTAGTAGTAGTAGTAGTAGCAGTAGTAGTAGTAGTAGTACGAGTAGTACGAGTAGTACGAGTAGTAGTAGTAGTAGTAATAGTAGTAGTAGTAGTACCTTCTTACTTTCATATTAATACTAGATAAAACGACTAGTATGAGTATGAATCATATCATTGATATTAGTATTACTAGGCTTCTATTCTTACGAGTAGTCTTCGTATTATTATTATTACTACAACTATTGATGTTGTTACTAATCTTCAGGGTATCAGCATGATTAGTATGAGTCTCAATAGTGTGATTATTATTCTTCCTCCTCCTCCTCATCCTGCTCCTCCTCCTCCTCCTCGTCATCATCATCACCATCACCATCACCATCACCATCATCATCATCGTCATCATCATCATCATCATCATCATCATCATCATCATAATAATCGTCAGCAGCAGCATTATCATCATCACCTTCATCATCAGCATCATCAGCATCATCAGCATCATCATCATCACCATCATCACCATAAGTTTCATTATCAGCAGCATCATCATCAGCAGCAGCATCAGCATCATCATCATCAGCAGCATCATCAGCAGCAGCATACTCAGCAACATCAGCGTCAGCAGCAGCAGCATCAGCAGCATAATCATCGTCATCATCATCAGATGCATCATCATCAGAAGCATCATCATCATCAGCATCATCCTTATCATCGTCAGCATCATCGTCATGAGCATCATCATCATAATCATCACCACCATCACGACCATCACCATCCATCCTCCCTTGCCCATCCTCTCCCCCTCCCTCCCTCCCTCCCTCCTTCCCTCTGTCCCTCTATCTCTCCCTCTCTCCGCACCCTCCTCCTCTTCCTCCTGCTCCTCCTCTTCCACCTTCAACACCTCCTCCTCCTCCTCCACCGCGCCCTCATCCTCTTCCTCCTCCTCCTGTTCTTTTTCTTTTTCCTCCTCCTCTTCCTCCTCCTCCTCATCCTCATCCGCCTCGTCTTACTCCTCTTCCTCCTCATCCTCGTCCTCCTCCTCTTCCGCCTCCTCCTCCTGGCGCCGTCGCTGCCGGCTTCGGATTTCGACTCGAACGCAGCCATCCTTCTCTTGCTTTTCCTCCTCGTCCTCCTCCACGTTATCCACATTATCCTCTTTCCTCCTCCTCCTCCTTCTCCTCCTCCTCCTCATCCTCATCCTCTCCCTCCCCGTCCTCCTCCTCCTCCTCCTCCTCCTCCTCCTCCTCCTCCTCCTCCTCCTCCTCCTCCTCCTCCTCCTCCTCCTCCTCCTCCTCCTCCTCCTCTTAATGTACGTCCCGCACCACCAGCCCCCTCTCCGAGGCCGTCCCGGACTCCCGTCGAGACCTGGGTGGGCTCGCGCTGACTGGGAATACACTCGCCTGGACTTGCGCTCGAGCACTGACTGAGACTGTCCTATGTTAGCCAGCACGGCACGCTACACTGGAGATGGGGGCGCGCGTACGTGCGACCTTACGCGGGAAATTTACGCGCGAACGTCTGCGCAGCCGACCACGTTGTCTTCTGCGGCTCAGTTGGTCAACAAACTGTCGGGAATGATTGCAGAATACGCGACACTGGACACGAGTCTTTGCCGAGTGGACCCCATGCTCCGACATGGAGGACGCGTCCACCTTCCAATCAGACCCGACAGTGCATCCAAGGCAGCAGATGGCGTTTCAGAAATAAACCGCATAAGATAACTCGGGATCCTTGAGAGGTCCAGACCACCAAGGTCATACTCCCTCAAAAGAAGGTGTGCTTTGCTGCAGTGCGTTCGCCTTCCCAGCCTCAAGACCTCTAGAAGCCCTCGAGGCGCCAAAAAGTTGTCCCCGACCCTCCTGGCCAGACGTTCCTGAGGCCTCGAGACCCCAAACACAGAGGCCGCCGAAGACTCCTGCGGTCATCTAGAAGAGAAAGACCTGCCCGTGGCCGCCCCCCGTGGAGTGACCATGCGGATAAAGGGCGAGCGGTGCCACGCCGCAAATGCGCCCGAAATATGGGGGAGGGATCTTCAGAAATTCTCTGCCAAGCAGGGCGGACACAAGTGCTGCTGTACCTGAGCTGGAAGATTCTCTCCACCTTGTGGCTCTACGAAGAGCCCCAGACGGCGATGCGGTTCTCGGCGTTCCCTCCTGTCGAGTCGATCCGATCCGATCATCCCCCACTCCCCCTCACCTTTCCCCCCCTTAAGAGGCAACTACTGGGAGGTCTTCGTCGGAATGATGAGGGAGGACTAAGCTCCACTGGGGAGCTACTGCGTCGGATTAGGCCGCAGATTAAGCGGAATGAGCACACGAAAACTGAAGAATGCACCCCTTCCTACTTTGCCCCTCTCCTGAGGCCCCCGATAGCGAACCCGCACGTTCCTGCGCGCAAGGTGGACAATCGGGCCCCTATAGGCGAAGAGTGGACGATCGGGTGTGGATGCAGCTCCCCCTTAGATTATCCCCCCCAGACGTTGGCCGTGACTGCCTGCGTCCCGCTTTCCCCCATCCCCCCTCGGCGGCAGCGGCGGCGGCTGGGCGGGGTTCCCGCGCCAGCTGCGCGGTGGGCTCGCTGGGCCGGCGCGAAAGCCGCGAGCGCCACCATGCGCGGGCCGGCCGAGCCGCGGCTCCCCTGCGAGAAAGGGATCTGCGGGGGCGCCGAAAGGCGCTGTGGAATTACTGGAAGCCGGCGGTAAACTGTCAACCTTGGTTACCGCCGGGTTGATCCACATAGTACCTTGGGCAACTGCCTGTAGCGCACGCAGTATTCAGAAATATACACTTTATCAGAAAGTTACGCCATATGAAACGCATGTGTTTGCTAATTTCTCCCTGTGCAGTCTGATATCGGCTCTACGTTGCCTCCAGAGCAATACACTTCATCATTTCATATCGATTGATTCACATATTACCTTTGGCAGCTGCCTGTAGCGCACGCAATCTTCAGATGACTCTCTTTTATCCAAAAATTATATGAAGAAACACTATGTTCAAATACTTCTGCCTGTGTAGTCTGATCTCGGCTCTCTGCTGCCTCCAGATCGATGCATTTGATAATTTCGTGCCGATTGATCCACATAGTACCTTGGGCAACCGCCTGTAGCGCAAGCAATATTCATAAAACACACTTCATCAGAAAATTACGTCATATAAAGCACGCGTGTGTAATTAACTCTGCCTCTGTAGACTGATCTCGACTTTCTGCTGTCTCCACAACAATGCATTTGATCATTCCATATCGATTGCTCCACAAATTACGCTCGGCAACTGCCTGTCGCGAACACAATGTTTAGAAAAACTGACTTTCATCAGAAAAGTACGCCATATGATACATCATGTTGTGAATTGTTACGTATGTGTAGCCTGTTCTGGGCTCTATTATGCCTCCAGAACGATGCATGTGATCATGCTAGATCGATTGATCCACATATTTCCTTGACCAACGGCGCGCAACTCACGCCATCCTACGAAAAAACACTCTCATCAGAAAGAACATTGAAGAGTGCAAATAGTTGTTCGGCCGCAGCTCTGGTAGCAGACCGATCTAAGGCGTCTAGATACTCCAGAATAGCGTTCGTGGCCATTTCCTGTCAAATGGTGTGCATCTCAGCTCCGCAGCTCGCCTACAACTCGAATTAAGTAGAAAAAGCAAGCATCGCCTCTAAGGAACTTTCCATGTGCGAATAATAGTTCTGTCGCAGCTCTGGTAGCAGACCGATTTCAGACGTCTCGACACTGTAGACCAACGCTCCTGCCGATTTCCTGTTGGAAGGTGTGCATCTCAGCACCGTAGCTCGTCTACAGCTCAATTTAAGTAGAGAAGACCAACATTGTTTCTCAAGAAGTTGCAGAGTGCGAATAGTTGTTCGGTCGCAGCTCTGGTGGCAGACTGATCCCAGGCGTCTCTATACTCCTGACTAAGGCGCCTGATCATTTCCTGTCGATAAGTGCGCCTTTCAGCTCCGCAGCTTGCCTACAGCTCGATAAACAGAGAAAACCAGCATCGCCTCTGAAAAAAACTAGTGAGAGCGAATAATCGTTCGGTCGCAGCTCTCGCAGCAGACAGATTTCAGGCGACTCGATAATTGAGACTAGAATTCCTAATCATTTCCTGTCGAATGATGTGCATTTCGACTGAGAGTGGCCTGTAGCTCGAGCTATCCTCAAAAACCCATCAGGAGGACCCAAAGATAGCAAGAACATCAAATCCCGCCTTATTGTTTTCTGTAGTAATGTCCACCCGATTTACCTGATATCAAAATGGCGAACGGGAATAAGATCCTAGATGGGTGCAGAAAGTACTAGATCTCGAACGAATTGCTGAATCTCGAAAACAGAATTTTCGACCGAGCCCTCATCAAAACTGGAAGCCGGCAACCTTCAACCTTGGTTCTGCGGTTCTACGGTCGGCCGGTTCGAGCCTCAACGGAGGCAGACCTACTAGCAGAGGCAACTCAGAATCTAATCCGAGAAGAAGCCCCTAAGAAGACTTTCAACAGATGCTAACTCAGCCTGCGTGATTGCACAATGAGACGGGATCACGAACGCGCGGCGGCCAACCCCATTCTGCCACCAACAGTCCCGGAGTCCAGGGGACTCGTAAAGCTTCCTTGCCTTCTATATAGGAATGGCATGCGAGCGCGGCAAATTCGCATTCAGCGCGCGCGAGCATGTGTGGTTTCATGGGAATGTGCTTGACAGCTCCTTAGCGTGCCCACAGCTCGAGTTCAGTTGTGACAACCACCCACGCGAGAAAGTACACGATTCATGTTGAACAGATGGTTGAAGAATAGCTGCCCAACTTACAAAACTCTCGCCACGCGTAGAGCACGATAGTTTCATATCGAACGATGCGTTTGACAGCTTGGTAGCTGTTTGCAGAGTACAGATAGTTGTTCGGTCGCAGCCATGGTAGCAGACCGAACTCAGGCGTCTCGATACTCCAGACTAGCGCTCCTGATGTATTCCGTTCGATTGGCGCGCATCTCAGCTCCATAGCTCGCCTACAGCTCGAATTAAGCAGAGAAAACAAGCATCGCCTCTAAATTATTCACTGCGTGGAGCTCCCCATATGCGCATCTACTCGCATGGACCTGTCCGCCGTGAATGTCTAGGCGCAAGAGCTTTCGAATATTAACGGGCTTCAGTTGTGACGGTCTGGACATCAATCTAACTGCGAATGAATTGGAGTGTGAATGAGCCTCAGTAGTACGAGCGCGTCTCTGTGCATGAGCCTGGGGCCTCCTGGGGCCTCCTGAAACCTACTGGGGCTTCCTGGGGTCTCCAGGAGCCTCTTGGGACCTCCTGGGACCTCCTAGGAAGGTTTCGTGCCCCAGGAGAGGCGCAATCTATAGCAACAGACGTACATAAAACATTGCGGATTAGAGCCACAGGAGAAGTGCAATCTATAGGAACACGCGTAAAACACCAAGGACTCGTGCCCCAGGAGAGGCCCAATACATAGGAACATGAGTAAAACATTTAGGATTGTGTACACAGGAGAAGGACCATCTATAGAAACATACGTAGAACATCAAAGAATCGTGCTCCAGGTGAGGCCCAATCGATAGGAGCATACGTAAAACACATGGGATTGGAGCCACTCCTGTTGCCTTCTGAGGCCTCCTGCTCCTGGGGCCTCTCGGGGCCTCCTGTTGCCTTCCGAGGCCTCCTGGCGCTTCCTGTTGCCTCCTGGGGCCTCCTGTGGTTTCCTGAGGCCTTCTGGAGCTTCCTGGGGCCTCCTGGAGCCTCTTGGGACATCCTGTGGCCTCTTGAATCTTTCTGTGGCCTCCTGATGCCTCCTGGGACCTCATGTGGTCTCCTGGGGCCTCCTGGAGCCTGTTGGGGCCTCCTGTGGCATCCTGAGAAGAATCTGCGCCCACGAGCCTGGCCACCAAAACAAGCAAATCGATCGAGACATCCTCAAAATCTGGCCCACCTGGGGGGTGAAAATGAGCGTCTCGCTCGAGACATCCTCCAAATCTGCTCCGAAAGCGAAGGATGTTGGGCACAGAAACAGGCAAACCGCCTGAGACATCCCCACAAAATGGCCGCGAACGAGCCCGTGCAACCACCCCTGGCGGCTCCCCTTAGGGGTGCTGAAATGAGCGCCTCGCTCGAGACATCCTCCAAATCTGCTCCGAAAGCGAAGGATGTTGGGCCCAGAAACAAGCAAACCGCCTGAGACATCCCCACAAAATGGCCGCGAACGAGCCCGTGCAACACCCCTGGCGGCTCCCCTTAGGGGTGCTGAAATGAGCGCCTCGCTCGAGACATCCTCCAAATCTGCTCCGAAAGCGAAGGATGTTGGGCCCAGAAATAAGCAAACCGCCTGAGACATCCCCACAAAATGGCCGCGAACGAGCCCGTGCAAACACCCCTGGCGGCTCCCCTTAGGGTGCTGAAATGAGCGCCTCGCTCGAGACATCCTCCAAATCTGCTCCGAAAGCGAAGGATGTTGGGCCCAGAAACAAGCAAACCGCCTGAGACATCCCCACAAAATGGCCGCGAACGAGCCCGTGCAAACACCCCTGGCGGCTCCCCTTAGGGGTGCTGAAATGAGCGCCTCGCTCGAGACATCCTCCAAATCTGCTCCGAAAGCGAAGGATGTTGGGCCCAGAAACAAGCAAACCGCCTGAGACATCCCCACAAAATGGCCGCGAACGAGCCCGTGCAAACACCCCTGGCGGCTCCCCTTAGGGGTGCTGAAACCAGCGCCCCGCCTGAGACATCCTCACAATCTGCTCTCCAAGCGTGAGAAAGTCTGTTTATGTGTACGTATGGGTATGAGTAAGTCTGAGTATGAGTAACACTGTGTATGTGTAAGTCTGGGTATGAGTAAGTCTGTGTATGAGTACGTCTGGGTGTGAGTAAGTCTGTGTATGAGTAAGTCTGTGTATGAATATGTCTGAGTGTGAGTAAGTCTGAGTATGAGTAGGTCTGAGTATGAGAAAGTCTGAGCATGAGTAAGTCTGAGTATGAGTAGGTCTGAGTATGAGGAAAGAGGAGGAGGGGAGGAGGAAAAAGGAGGGAGGAGAAGGAGTAGGAGGCGTCCAAGTAATAACAAGAACCCCATCTTAGGATATGGGGAAAAAAACCAGAGCGCGAAAAGTTTTTCTGTCGCAGATCTGGTAGCAGACCGATCTCAGACGTCTCGATACTGCAAACCAACGCTTCTGTTCATTTCCTGTCGGAAGTGCGCATTTCATCACCGTAGCTGGCCTACAGCTCCAGTTACACAGAAAAACCAGCCATTGTCTCTCAAGAAGTTGCAGAGTGCGGATAGTTGTTCGGTCGCAGCTCCCACAGCAGACTCATTTCAGGCATCTCCATACTCCAGACTAACGCTTCCGATCCATTCCTGTTGATTGATGTGCCGTTCAACTCCGTAGCTTGCCTACAGCTCGATATAACTGGAGAAAACGAGCATCGCCTCTGAAAAGGAGTGCGAATAGCTGTTCAATCGCAGCTCGAGATATCTCCCAAAAACCCGCAGGAAGACCCACACATAGCAAAAATAGCAATCCCACCCCATTGCTTCTTTGCAGTAGTATCCACACGATTGGCTTGGGATCAATACGGCGACAACCGAGGCCTCTTCGTCAAAACATCCGTCGACGTCTTCGAGCCAACAAGCCCGCTGGCGCTGT